GGGGGGGGGGGGGCGGAGTAGGGGGGGAGGCTGTTGTGCCAGCCAGGAAGGCGGAGAAGTGGGCAGGTCAGGAGGCTTTGGGAGGCAGGATGGGAGGAGCTGGGGGAGAGGCAGGTGTATCAGCCAGAGGCCTGGCTCAGGGCAGCCCCGGGCCTGAGCTGACCTCTGGACGCCCACCTCCCGCCCCAGGGAGACGTGTGGATCTGCATGGAGCTCATGGACACGTCTCTGGACAAGTTCTACCGGAAGGTGCTTGAGAAAGGCATGACGATCCCCGAGGACATTCTGGGGGAGATTGCTGTGTCTGTAAGTGGCCTCAGGGCTGGGGCAAGGGCGGGGGGCGGGCTGGGAGTTCCAGGTCCATAGCCAGAGGCCCTGGCCTGGCCCAGCAGGCACGAAGCCCAGTCTGATGGTGGTGTCTTGGGCTGAGCTGAGCCCCAGTGTGGCCCTGAACCTGGGCACCTGCCCCCAGGGGCCCAGCGCCTCCACTCTGGGCCAGAGCCTTTGCTGAGGAAACCCTGCAGCCTTGGGCTCCCAGAGACACACAGATCTGGCAGCTCCAGGGCCTCTAGACCCTGTGTGCAACGCCCAGGCTCCTGGGGCATTTTATTTTATTTTTATTTTTTTTAAAAAAATACATTTTATTGATTTTTTACAGAGAGGAAGGGAGAGGGATAGTTAGTTAGAAACATCCATGGAGAAACATCATCCATCAGCTGCCTCCTGCACACCCCCTACTGGGGATGGGCCGCAACCAAGGTACATGCCCTTGACCGGAATCGAACCTGGGACCTTTCAGTCTGCAGCCCGACGCTCTATCCACTGAGCCAAACCGGTTAGGGCTCCTGGGGCATTTTAAATGGACTTAGTGTTCACAGCTTCCTCAGCTGACAGGCCCGAGGCAGCTCAGGGAGGTGCACTAAGCAGGGAGAAAGGGGGAGAAAGGGTCGCATCCAGAAGTTTGCCCTCCCCCCCATTTATCTATTTACTTACTTGTTCATTTGTATTGAGTTTATTAGGGTGACGTTAGTTAATAAAGTTATATAGGTTTCAGGTATACAGTTCTGCAGCCCATCTTCTGTACATTGTGTTGTGTGTTCACCACCCCAAGTCAAGTCTCCTTCATCACCATTTATTCCCCCTTCACCCTTTTCTACCCCCACCCCACTCCCTCTGGCAGTCACCACATGTTGTCTCTGTCTCTGAGTCTTTTCTTTTCTTGCTTCATCCCTCACCTCTTCCCCAGCCCCCAGCTTTTGAGGGTGAGCATTGCTCGAGGAGGTAGCAGCACTGGGCTCCAGCGTCCAGGCAGCAGAGCAGACAAGGAAATGGGTCTGGCTGTGCCGTTTGCTTCTGGCTGCGTCTGGGACTGAACATACCCAGCCGGGCGCTGAGGGGAAGAGCTCTGTGGGGGGGGGGGGGGGGGGGGGGGGGGGGGAGAAGCCGGGAGGCTGCCAAGGCTGGGTTTCACCCAAGAGCCTGGCAGGGAGTGGCCATGGCCCCTTGGGGGTCATGGGCCCAGATTTCTGCAGTGGTTTCCAGTACATCATTTCCTGGTAAACGTGTGGGCCCAAGACCCTGCCCACTTGGCTGGTGGGAGAAAAGCAGGAGGCCAGGTGTCTAGGGCAAAGGTCGGATGTGGGCAGGAGCCTGGGTTGATGGGGGCTGGGTGTGTGAGTAAGGGAGACGGGTGGGCACGGGTGGGCGGGGTTACTGCGCTGTCCTGGCATCACTCTGTTCTCTGTCCTGCGCACAGGTAGTGAGGGCCCTGGAGCACCTGCACAGCAAGCTGTCCGTCATTCACAGAGGTCAGTGCCCGCCGCGGCCGCCAGGGAGGCCCCAGGCCACCCCCATGCATGGTCTCAGCCCGTCCTGCGAGGTGGGGGGCCTCTCCCTTTCCAAGAGGAGCCTGCTGAGCTCAGGGAGGGATACGCAGGGATGTGTGTGCTGGATTCATGGCTGAGGCTCTCCCCGGCTAGGCTGCTGCACGTCTCCGGCCATTTTCCTCTGTCTCCACCCAGAGCCAGTCCCAGCCACTTGGGTGATCCACCTCGCCCCACCCCCCAGGTTTGCTGAGCTCCGAGCCAGGACTAGGCGGGCTGCCAGCAGCTGACTGGCTTTGTCTGGACCTATTGTTTGCATATTGCTCTGTAGCTACTCTTCCATGAGTCTGGCAGTGGTTCTCAACCTGTGGGTTGCAACCCCTGAAAATAGATCCTGCATATCAGATATTTACATGACGATTCATAACAGTAGCAACATGACAATTATGAAGTAGCAACGAAGATAACTTTATGGTTGGGGGTCACCACAACATGAGGAACTGTATTGAAGGGTCGCGGCATTAGGAAGGTTGAGAACCACTGGCTCAGAGTTTACACCATGTAACCCCCACTCTGGGAAGATCCAGGATGCTCCCCCTCCCCTCCATCCTGGAAAGTTCCCTTGGCCCTTTCTGGCTGGTCCCCTTCACCCCACATCCCCCAATGCTCCTCGTCTGACCCCACCCCCCAACATTGGTTTGTCTTGTTCTTGAACTTCATGTCCATTGCCTCCACGCCGTGCCTCTGTCCAGCCTCCTTCCCTTGGCCTCATGTTTCTGAGCTCCCCAGGCTGTGTAGGCTGTAGTTCCTTCCTGCTCATTATTCTTGGTGGTTCTCTTACCAGGATGTGCTGCTTCTTACAGAGTTAACTAGACTAAGCCCTTTGGCCCCTCTGTGGCCTTCCCCACTGCAGCTCAGCCCTGCTGACAGGTCAGCATGGAACCTTCCAGACCTTTCTCTGGGCGTTTCTATTCCACCCAGGTCCTGGAGGCAGCTCATGGGGAGCAGGGGGTGCATTTGCTGAGATTGCCCACTGTGCAGCCTGCTCCGGACTGGCGGGGCGGGGGGGAGGGTGCTCTGTGTTCGCCTGCAGACCCGCCCCTGTTGTGTTAGCTGCTGCCCTGAGCCTCCTGTGAACCTGCTGGCTCTTGGGTGTGGACACTTGGGTGGCTTCCGGGTCTCACCCTCAGTGGTGACTCCCGCACCCCAGCCTGAGAAGACATCAGAGCTAGAGGCTGAGCTGGGAAGGGTGCGGCTGCATAGACAGGAGGAGCCTCCCGTCCACAGGCTGAGGACGGCACTGGACGCCGTCGGGGACGGCAGCGAAGCCCTGGCTTCCTGTCACTCGGGGCCAGTGGCTGGAGTGCATCCTCACTGGTCGTCCCCAGCTGTGGCCTGGGGCTCGGGCAGAGCCTCCTGGAGCCTCGGTCCCTCACACGCTCCCTGGCCCTGCAGTGTCTGCCCAAGCGGCTGGGGTGTGGGGGGCCCCTAGGCTGAGCAGCTCTTTTGTTCCCGCAGATGTAAAGCCTTCGAACGTCCTCATCAACAAGGAGGGCCACGTGAAGATGTGTGACTTCGGGATCAGCGGCTACTTGGTGGATTCTGTGGCCAAGACGATGGATGCCGGCTGCAAGCCCTACATGGCCGTGAGTAGCCCTAACCCCCACTCCTGGACCACATGGAGGGTCCTCTGCCCCTCAGAGGTGGCGCCACCACCTAGCCTGCCCAGGGCCTGTCCCTCTGGTTAGCAGTCCTGCCTTGGAGCACCCATTTGGAGGACAGATTTTATGGACCCCCACGTGGAGGTAGCTCAGGGGGTCTGTGCAGGCCCCCCCGCCAGTGTCCTGAAGGTGCTCTTCTCAGTCCCCATCGGGGCACCTTTGAGGCAAGGGTTAGGCTTCCACCATATGACCCTGACCCTCCCTGGCCTCAATTTCCTCATCTGTCCCCGGGAGGCGGGGTTGGATGAGCACTGACCCCTCAGTTTGGGGCCAGGGGCTCAGGCACCCCTGTGCGGGCCCCTCCCCATGGAGGGGTGTTGATGCCTCCCTGGTCCTTCTCACAGCCCGAGAGGATCAACCCGGAGCTGAACCAGAAGGGCTACAACGTGAAGTCCGATGTCTGGAGCCTCGGCATCACCATGGTACCCGGGCTGGGCCTGCGGGCTGGCGGGGGCCAGGCAGGGGCACACGGTCGGGGAGCATTTCGGGGGTCGTCAAATAGTTCAGGCCCCGGAGAAAGTGTTGGCTTCACTCTGAAACGTGCCCCAAATGACGGTATAATGAAGGGAGTGCCCTCGGTGACGTTGACCCCTCCCTGGGGGTGAGCCTGGGGCCAGGGTTGGGGAGGCTAGAGAAGTGTCAGGGTCATTGGAGGTCTTAGATTTTACTGGTGCTGCAGTTGCCATAACCCTCCTCATCACTGTATGATTGTAATTTTATAACCTGTGTCTGTTCACAGTGACTGAGAATCAGTCATTTTGTCAGACAAAATGGAGGAACTGGTGATACCTTCAATGTTCCTTAATGCTACAGTTAAACTCTTCAAAAAAATATTTTTATTGATTTCAGAGAGGAAGGAAGAGGGGGAGAGAGAAACACCCATGATGAGAGAGAATCATTGATTGGCTGCCTCCTGCACACCCCTACCCTGGAGATCGAGCCCACAACCCAGGCATGTGCCCTGACCGGGAATCGAACCATGACCTCCTGGTTCATAGGTCGATGCTCAAGCCCTGAGCCACGCCACCAGGTAAACGGTTTCCTGTTTGAGGTGGAGAGGAGCACCCACAGGCCAGAGGTGGACACTGGTCCTGCAGTGCTCACTGCTCCTCTGTGCTCAAGGCTTTGCTTTGTTTGTTTTCCAGTTTGTTGAGCTCCTTAGAGAGGAGGACCAGGAAGGGAGGGCCGGCCAGGGTTGGACGTGTTTCCGTGTTTCTGATGATCAGCTCTGGGTGGCCTCTGGGCCCTTCTCTGGCAGCCCATGCAGGGCCTCGCTGCTGCTTATTGGACTCAGTAGACATTTTAGGAGCACGGCCTGAGTTTGTCCTGTGAACACACACAGACACACACACACACACACTCACACTCACACACACACACTCACACTCACACACATCATACTCACACACATACACTCATACACACACTCACTCACACACACTCTCACACACACACTCACACACACACACACACACTCATACTCACACACTCACACACATACACACACACTCATATACTCACACACACACATACACACTCATACTCACACACATACACTCATACACACACTCACTCACACACACTCTCACACACACACTCACACACACACACACACACTCATACTCACATACACACACATACACATACACACACACACATACACACATACTCTCACACACACACATATACTCATACTCACATACACACACACACACATACACACACACTCACACTCACACACACTCACACACACACTCATACACTCACACACACACACACACACTCTCACTCACACACACACACACACACTCTCACTCACACACACACACACACACTCTCACTCACACACACACACACACACTCTCACTCACACACACACACACACACTCTCACTCACACACACACACACACACTCTCACTCACACACACACACACACACTCTCACTCACACACACACACACACACTCTCACTCACACACACACACACACACTCATACTCACACTCACACACATACACTCATACACACATGAACAGTGCCTAGCACATTGTAGGGGCACAACTGTTCTTAAGAGACCGGCATTGCTATCTCAATCTTTATATTGACAGTGGATGCCAAGGTGCAGAATGTTCAACTTCAGTGTGAAGAGGTCAGGAAAGACTTCAAAGATAAATCGACATTTGAGTTCAGTCTTGAAAGGTAAGAAGGAATTTTCCCAGGTTGGTGAGGACATACACATACACACACACTCACACATACACACATACTCTCACACACACACATACACTCATACTCACATACACACACATACACATACACACACACTCACACATACACACATACTCTCACACACACACATACACTCATACTCACATACACACACATACACATACACACACACTCACACATACACACATACTCTCACACACACACATACACTCATACTCACATACACACACACACTCACACATGCACACATACTCTCTCACACACACACTCACACACACACACTCACACTCACACACACATATACACACTCATACACACGCACTCATACACACACACATACACACTCACACACACACACACACACACACACACACAGAACCACACCCACGCCCATTGCGCTGTGCATAGCCTCGTCTCAGGGTGTGTGTGTCTCGGCTGGAAAGGGGCCGTCAGCCTCATGGGAAGGCTCTTTCTTAGCACAGCAGGTGGCGAGCTGTTGGGTGCCGGCTGCCAGCATGAGCGTGTGTTTGAGTTGCGGCCTCTGCTGTGCATCACGCCTGCCGTTGGGACGACTGTGCAGTTTCAGGCGGGGCCTGTGTGGACCTGATTTGGTGTTTTCACTTCGGCCGTGAAAATTGAGCTCAGAGTTGGTCATAAGCTGGCCAGTGTGTTCTACAGTGACTTCCTGCCAAGGCAGCGAGGTGTGAGCGAGGGGCTGGCCTGGGTGCAGAGCGGGCCCCAAAGCCATGTGCAGGGAGCCTAGGTCCACGCCCAGCAGGATGGACAGACCTATGGCGGCCATACATCCAGGGGGTCAGGGAGAACCCACGATGGGGAGAGGAGAAGGTTTCTGGAGGAGGAGGCTGGGAATGGGCCTTGCAGGGGGGGAGGGGTGTGTGGGGGCGATGGAGGAGGAGGCTGGGAATGGGCCTTGCAGGGGGGGAGGGGTGTGTGGGGGCGATGGAGGAGGAGGCTGGGAATGGGTCTTGCAGGGCGTGGGGTGGGTCGTGGGGGCGATGGAGGAGGAGGGGCTGCAGACTCCACACCTGACGGGCCTGGAGCAGGTGTTGCTGGGAAGGAGCGATTGAGTGTGGGCCTCGGGGTCTGACATCTCCTCTAGGGCCTTGGGGAGATGGGTAAGAGTGTCTTTCGCTTCCACCTGCCGCCTCTGTAGCAGCAGCTGCTCAGATCCGGCAGAGGTGTTAGAGGGACATTAGGGAGCCGTGAGGGAGATGTTTGGGGGGCAGTGACCTGTGACCAGCGAGCTGCTGCCGGTCCGCATCCTGTGCCTGCTGCTGCCTCAGGGACAGGTGACTTGGCTGCAGCTCTGTGGGTTTTTCTAGATTAGCTGGAACCTGGGTTTTTATGTGAAATCGTCTGAATTCAGGTTGTTTGAATATCTGAGGATGGTCAGCTCGTCACGCTCAGCAGGCCCTCCTCCACGAGCCGTCATTGCTGCTGGGTGGTTGGAGCCGCAGCGGCTGGGTCCACCTGGCTTTAACCTTTGGCCCGGTGTCATGGGTCAGCCCTGACTGGCCTCGAGGCCCTGGCCACCTGCCCTGCTGCTGATGCAGAGTGACAGCACCCCCGTCCTCCCTGCAGATCGAGATGGCCATCCTGCGGTTCCCCTACGAGTCCTGGGGGACCCCCTTCCAGCAGCTGAAGCAGGTGGTGGAGGAGCCGTCCCCTCAGCTCCCGGCTGACCGCTTCTCTCCGGAGTTTGTGGACTTCACTGCCCAGTGGTGAGTGCAGCGCCCTGGCCGGACAGCGGCCGCCCGCCTGGCACCTTCTCCCTCAGCACATAGCCCCCAGCAACATCACATCCAAACCCAGAGGCAGCGCTGTGCACCCGGGAAGTCTGCCATTGGTCCTCGGGGGTTTCAATACAGTCCTCCCGACACGGACAAATCAAGGGAGGCCGAGAGAAAGCAGCTTTTCAGACTGGAGTAGCTCCACCTGGCTTTAACCTTTGGCCCGGTGTCATGGGTCAGCCCTGACTGGCCTCGAGGCCCTGGCCACCTGCCCTGCTGCTGATGCAGAGTGACAGCACCCCCGTCCTCCCTGCAGATCGAGATGGCCATCCTGCGGTTCCCCTACGAGTCCTGGGGGACCCCCTTCCAGCAGCTGAAGCAGGTGGTGGAGGAGCCGTCCCCTCAGCTCCCGGCTGACCGCTTCTCTCCGGAGTTTGTGGACTTCACTGCCCAGTGGTGAGTGCAGCGCCCTGGCCGGACAGCGGCCGCCCGCCTGGCACCTTCTCCCTCAGCACATAGCCCCCAGCAACATCACATCCAAACCCAGAGGCAGCGCTGTGCACCCGGGAAGTCTGCCATTGGTCCTCGGGGGTTTCAATACAGTCCTCCCGACACGGACAAATCAAGGGAGGCCGAGAGAAAGCAGAGCTTTTCAGACTGGAGTAGCATGAAGAAAGGCACGTTATTGGTGTCTGGAACTCCACAAGCTAAGGGTGCCCACAGGAGCCTTATGAAATAGTGCTTGAGGAACGGAGACGGGAGAGGCACAGGCAGGCCGCGGCCGTGGTCTGCCCACAAGGAGGTAGAACGCGTCCCAACTACGGGAGAGCTGCGTGGAGATTCAAGTGAATTCTGGCTTACTCTTGGCTTATGAAAACGTTTGAAAAATGAAGTTACAAGCTGTTCAGAAGTGAAAGAGTAAGAAAATGACATGTTAGTCTCTGTGTGTTATGAGTAAAGAGACACTCAGAGGGAAACTCACAGCCTTTACTTCTCTTGTTAGAAAATAAGACTGAAGACAAAGGCTCTACAAACAGCCACCATCCTCCTGACTCCTTGCACTCAGGGCTCCCTCTCCTGGGACCTGTGATAAGGAATTTCCCTCCTGACGAAGGACACCAAGGATATGAGTGCTAATGGCAGCATTTTGGTGTCATTTCAATAGGAGGTTCACTGGAAATTCCCTAGATCGCTAGAGAGACAAGAAAGCTAAACCCCAGAGGCAGGGAACTTGGCCTGAGTCTGAGTCTGCACCTGTGGGTCCCCTCCATCCGCAGGAGCTCCCGGAACAGTCCGCCGCTCCTTCTTCCCTGAGCCCGGAGCATGTGTCCCCTCGCTGCCCAGGCTCAGGGACTTGGCTGGCCTGGGGGGCTGGACCCCCTCCTCCAGGCCAGCCTGACTCCAGCCTGCCCTGCTCTCTCCTAGTTTGAGGAAGAACCCTGCGGAGCGCATGAGCTACCTGGAGCTGATGGTGAGTGGTGGGGGCAGCGCTGGGTGGCTCTCTAGGGAGGGAGGGGGGCTGCGTCCCCAAGCACAGGTGAGCAGCTCCTCGGGCTGGCCCTGCAGTCATTCATTCAGGTAGCCCACGCTGAGCCCTGTGGAGGGCACACAGGCAGGGCCACAGGGGCCGGGTGGGGAGGCAGGTGGGCTGTTTTATCTGAAGGCATCAGGGAAGGCTTCTTAGAGGAGGTGACATTTGAACTGGGCCTGGAAGGATGAATAAGGACTTACCTACGATGGAGCGGGCATTCCCCGTTGATGGCTAGTGGGGGGCCCAGGAGGCAGTGACTGCTGTCCTAACCGAGAGGGCTTTCTGGGGCAAGTCCTAGGAGGATGCGTGGGAGTCTGCCCGCAGGGAGCACACCAGGCCTGGGCTGGGGGGGGGGGGAGCCCTGCTCGCACCTGAGGGCTTCTCTACCTCCCCCTGCTCCTGAGGGGTGATCGGGGCAGCAGCCACTGCTCGCACCCACTGACAGCGCTGGCCCCGCTCGCACCCGCTGCTGGCACCGGCCTCAATCACTCCGTGCGTGGGAACGGCGGCAGGAGCAGGGCTGCTGGCAGACCGGGGACCGGGGGCTATGGCAGGAGTGGCGGGGGGGGGGGGGGGGGGGGGGGGCGGGAGCACCTCTCCTCATGCCTTGTCCTGCCTCCCCCAGGAGCACCCTTTCTTCACCTTACACAAAACCAAGAAGACAGACATCGCTGCTTTTGTGAAGAAGATCCTGGGAGAGGACTCGTAGAGGGGCCCCCAACCCAGAGCCCTCTGCGGGGCGATGCTTGCCCACACCCATAAGCTACTGCCACTGGCCGTGGGCATCCTGGGAGGACTCGAGGGGCTGGTCCCAAGTGCCAAAGAACCAGACTGTCAGGGCTCCCTGCGGCCCTCATGGGCCTACCAGTGCCTCTGTCCTGCTGCTTCAAGGACCCCAAGTCTTCAGCCCCCAAGACCCTGGACTTGTGGGGACCTGGATACCCCCAGATGTTGCCGCCCCTCACAGAGAAGGCAGCCGGCACCTGTGCACTGCCTGGCCCCGCCCGGATGCCTTCAAGTTGTATATTTTTCTACTTCTTGACTGAATGGACTTTGCACACTTTGGCTCAGGACTCTGTGCTGGGTGGTGTGGGGTGCGGACGGGTGAGCCATGTGGACCTCGAGCCCCCTGAGGGAGACCCAGCTGCTGGAGCCCTCGCCGGGCGCTGCACGCAGGCCTCCCGGGACCCTGTGGCCCAGCCCCTCCTGTCACATCTACTAGGGGCGTCGTTTCACTTTTTTTTTTTTTTTTTAATTTATCCTCTTTTTCCCTTTTGCTTTGTGGGTTTGGCTGGGTTTTTATTGCTGTTGTTGTTGTTTGTTTTGCATGGTGTGGAGCCACATACGTTTTCTGCCACCCCCGGGGGCCAGCAGCCAAGACTCACCTCTGCTCGGGTGGCTCTAGGAGGTTGGCCTCCAGTCTCTGCTCAGAGACACTCCTCGGGGCTGGCCTGGCAGGCTATAGATTAGCTTTTCATAATATGTGTGTGTGTGTGTGGGTGTGTATATACACACATATACATATATGCTTTTTTTTTTTTAAGAAAGGACTACCTGTCCTGGGTTCTGTCCCTGATGGGTGGGGGCAGTTACCTGTTTGCTGTTTTAATAAAAAAAAAAAAGTGGATCCGAAGGCGGCGTGAGACTGTCACCGTGATGAGCCCACGCCTCGGGAGTGCCTGTGGCCACTGGAAGGACCCCTGCCCTGGGGTGGGGCTGGGCTGTGTGGTCGGGGGAGGGGGTTGCACCAGGGCCCCGGGGCGGTGCTGAGAGGCCGGTCCTGTGCTGGGTGCTGGGCGGAGCAGCAGACACAGGCCTGACCGCTGGTGGGCCTGACCCCTGGTCGTGGGAGAGCGCTCTGCCGATGCCCTCCCCTGGATGCTGTCCGCTCACGGAGGTGGGATGTTGTCTTGGGCTACGATGTTGTCCCAGTTTCTGAAAAACAGGCCCAGAGAGCTGAAGTGACGCGCCCCAAGCACCCAGCTGGTAATGGTGAGAAGCAGCTTGGAACCAGGCCGTGTACCCTGGGAGGGGAGCTCGAGGGAGGCCTCGTTGCCAAGGTCCAGTCTGACCTGTGGTCCTCGGGTCTGGGCTGGGCGGGAACTGCCATCACCACCGTCAGCAGCAGGAGTGACTGCTCACGTGAGCACAGCTCGCCCTTCGGCTGCTGTGCGGCTCAGGCAGTCGGGCAGGAGCAGGTTGGTCCCTGTAGCGCTCGTGTCCGCCTTAGCTGCTTTCTCTCGGTCCACACCCTTCGTGGGGACAAGGCAGGACCCAAGGGCTCCTCCCAGTTTAGCAAAGGGGCTCAGACTCCAGCTGCAGCCCCAGGTCTGGCTTGTTGGGCGGGAAGGGGTCACATCTACCCCCCCCCCCTCCCGCCCAAGTCATCAGCCAGGAGGGTCAGCCCACCCACATCTCAGGGTTGAGAATGCACCTCCCTAGTCCTCCAGGGGAACTCAGGGCATCTTCTCTGGGGTCCTCTCTCCTCTACCTCAGCGCCCCTGTCCTCAGGCCCCCACCTGTCCTCAGCACAACCTGGTGCCAAAGAGCCTCCAGTCCAGGACAGCCTTCTGCCCACTAACCCTTCCCTGGCACACACTGAACACTTGAAGGCACGTCTGTGCTGCTCCCTCCCAGCCTCCCTCCATGATGAAGGCTGTTCTCACCTTGGGGTCTTTGCACAGACTGTACCCCCGGCCTGGGACCCCTTCCCCCAGGCCTGCCAGGCTTTGTCCGAGTAGATCTGACTGCCACTGTGCTCGCTCAGCCTTTGTTAATGAATAAAACATACAACAAAGCAGGAAGGCGTGAGTGAGTCTAAAACCCTGTGTGTGTGTCGTCCCACCCACATGCCCAGGGCAGGCCACCGAACCCCAGGGCGCGTCCCAGTCGCTCCTGCAGCCACCTGGAGACACCAGACGCCGACTGGGATCCCCGTGTCCCCTGAGCCCTGCCCACCAGGCCTCCGAACACCCCATGGCCAACTCTTACCTCCCTCGCCCCTCCCACCGCCACCTTCCCAGGTTCCTGGTGGGGATCCAGGGGGTAGAGTCTGGGGCTTTGCCCTTGCACCTCAGCCCTGGGTCCTGGCTGCCCCTTCCCCGCCTCGGTGCACAGGCCCTGCTGGGAGCTCTGCTGAAGCAGGGTGACAGGTCTGGGGTCTGGTTCCCCACAGACACTCCCGGCACAGCCTCTCCTGTGTTTACAGAGAGCCTTACCGTTTCAAACAACTTCGTGGTTTGCAAAGCTCAAGGCTGTTTACAAAACAATTTACAAAGTAACTTCCAGTTTGCAACGCCCTCTACAGGGTTAAAGGGCACTTTACCGTTTCCCAGGTAGCTCCTGGCCGAGCACTGGCTGCGGAGAAGCCGGAGAAGGCGCTGGAGTGGGCAGGGCCCTCCGCCCAGTGTCAGGAGCTGGGAACGGGCTCAGTTGACTGGAGCCCTCGCTCTCACAGGGGACGTCCAGGCACCACGGCGGGAGGCCAGTGTGCAGATCGACTGACATTCACAAAGCACCTGCTCCGGCCGCAGGCCCGGGACAGTGATACGGCCCATGACGCGTCCCGGCGCCCGCCCTGCGCTCGCACCCATGGCGGGCCTCCTCCCCGCCTGAGGCTGAGGGCACAGGCACAGGGCTCTCCACCACCTCAGACAGCAGGGGCTGGATGCTGCCTGTCCCAGGCCTGAGCTTGGGGGTCTCAGGACTGACAGAACGGAGAACTGGGACCTCTGGTGGGAGAGCCTCGCGGTCACAACGCCCCGCAGGCCTGGGCCAGAGCGGGCAGCTGCCCTTGCAGCCTCCTTAAGTCAGCTCAGCCTCTCCCCTCTCAGACCCTCTGTGGCTACTCCCCCCCCCCCCCCGCACCTGTCTGAGGGTCCCCCAAAAACGCTCACTCCAGCTGGGCCTCAGCGACCACCCCACCCACCACACTCCACTTGCTCTGAGCCTTGGCCCGGGCTAGCCTTGCCCCAGGGCCTTTGCACTCCTGTCCTTGGTGCCCAGGATGCTCTCCCTGCTCAGGTGCTACCTCCGCACAGAGGCCCTTGACCACCGCTCACCCATCACTCGTCCCCTCGCCTTGCTGTGTGCTCTTCACACTTAACTTGGTTCGCAGTCATGTTAACAGAGCCGCTGGCCAGGGGACTGCTCGCACCTCCGTGCTCAAACCTGTGCTCAAACCTCAGAGGTTCAAAGCCACAAAAGAACCTTTGGGCTGGGCCTAATCTACTCTGTTTCCCAAAAGATGCAAAGAAGCCCAGCTGGTGTGGCACAGTGGTTGAGCGTCGACCTATGAACCAGGTCATAGTTCAGTTTCCGATCAGAGCACAGGCCTGGGTTGCGGGCTCCATCCTCAGTGTGGGGCGTGCAGGAGGCAGCCAATCCATGATTCTCTCTCATCATTGATGTTTCTATATCCTCCCTCTCCGGCCTGGGTTGCGGGCTCCATCCTCAGTGTGGGGCGTGCAGGAGGCAGCCAATCCATGATTCTCTCTCATCATTGATGTTTCTATATCTCTCCCTCTCCTTTCCTCTCTGAAATCAATAAAAGTATATTCTTTAAAAATGCAAAGATAACAAGAAAGCAGTTCTGACCACTGGGCTGATGACTACCCGACAGAAAGTGAGAACGTGGTTTAGACTTGGCATCACTGCGCTGTGTGACCTGCACGGACAGAAACGCCTTCCTCCCTCACCCGCCTCTGTCCTCACCAGAGCCTCCCTGGGATTCGGCCTGAATCAGACGCCTCCAACAGCTCTTCTTATTGATCCCAGTACATGCTGCTTCTCACTCTGACAGGCCTGGTATTTTTAGGTTCTTATCTGCTGACCAGCTCCCCCCTAGTCTGGGACGGGCTCTCCCGGGGCGGGATGAATCTGTCTGTCTTGCTCAGTCTGGCACGAAGGGGCCACGGCAGCGGAGACTGCCAGCGCAGGGGAGGCGCCCTCGGTCACCACCGTGGAGCCCAGAACCAGGGCAGGGGGCCCAGAGCAGACCTGCCCGGAATGTGCCAGGCCGGGCTGGAGGCGGTGGAGGGCCCCAGGCGGGAGGCACCCCAGGAGCAGGGCAGAGCCGCGCTGACTGACTGGACCCTGCGCTCAAGCAGGGAACCACCGGGAAGGCCGCACCGCCAGCAGCCCCGACGCTGGGACCTGATCCACCGTCCAGGCACCGGCAGCCGCGCCGCCTGCGGGCAGGGCTCCGGCTCTCTGACTCCAAGTCCCAGGGACTGAGATGGAGGGCTCCTGCCCGCTCCATGTTTAAGCCTGTCTGGTACCTCGGGGGAGGCGGGGCAGCCACCACCTG